ATCATCAAGATACTGTCATTAGTCGAAACAAAAGATGCCGTGGCCATGAGCATGTTGTCTAAACGATGGAAGTCCCTTTGGACATTGGTGCCAAGACTTATATTTGAAGATTACTCAGACGAGGACAAGGATGCTGAAACTAAAGAGAGACACTGGAGAGATTTGTCACATTTTGTTTATGGGACTTTGCTATATCATAAGGCACCTGTTCTTGAAACATTTCATCTCAACGTTGCTTCAGATCGTCTTGCTTTGGAGGTTGATTTATGGATTAGAATTGCCGTGGAGCGTTTCGTGCGTGATCTGAAGATAAGTTTTAACTATGATCATGGCCTTATTAGATTGCCGAGTAGCTTCTTTAGATGTGAAACACTTGAGACCTTGGAACTCCACAGGGTGGTTCTTTTGGAAGTTCCTTCTCGGTTTAGCTTTCGATCCCTCAGGACATTGCGCCTTCGATCTGTGAAATACTCAGATGAGGAACTTTTTTGTAGGATTATTTCCTGTTGTCCTGTTCTCGAAGATTTGGATGTAGAAAGTTGTAACAATGATAATGTAGCAACTTTCACTGTCAATGTACCATCCCTTAGGAGTTTGACAGTTAGGAACTCGTTACTAGAATGCAGACCTGATAATCATTTGTTTTGTGATACATTCCCATTCTTTAAAGCTCCTGAGCATTTTAGATTACTGTGGTGAAGTTAGTATTATCGGTAATATGCCAGAGCTTGTCGAGGCCAATCTTCAAACTTTGAGCCGCCATGAGAATGTTCTGAAATCTCTTAACTCTATCAGACGCCTTTCTCTATGCTTAGATGTTGAGGTAAAGCTGTTCTCAATTGATTCTTTGATGTGGTTCTCTAACACTTGCAAGCTTTAAATATTGAATCTTTTGCTATATATCGTGTCCTCTGCAGGCGCAGTATCCTACTGGTAGCGTTTTCTTTCAACTTGTGCGTTTGGAGCTATGTATGTGCATAGAGAATTGGTCGAATATGTTTGTGTGTGTGCTCCAACAATCCCCTAAACTACAAATTCTCAAGCTTGCGGTGGTAACTTTCATCCCTACCCAAAGAATGCAAATATCCAAGTTTATAGCTAGTCTCATGTTTTGTTTTTTGGTCTTAAGGTCTATATATATCTAATGTCTAATGCATCCCTATTTTCGACAACATTTGATTGTAGAACCATTGGATGGCTGTGGATCGTAAAGGTGGCTGGATTCAACCGAGCTTTGTTCCCGAATGTTTGTTGTTGAATATCAAAACCTTTGAATGGAGAGACTATGAAGGAAGAGAAGAAGAGAAACAAATGGCTATGTATATTCTGAAGAACGCAAGACGGTTATTGACCGCAACTATCGACCTTGACTCGGTCAAATTGTCGCGCAGACTTAAGGTGATTGAGGAATTGGTATTTGCAAGCAGAGGCTCAAGAGCATGTAAGCTGACAGTATGCTGAAGAAAGTTTTCCAGTAAACTAGTTGGATGTGGATTTAGATTAGAAGCTATTAAGTATATATCCTTGTTAAAAGATTTGCTTTTTATCTTTTTGAGTTTTGTCTTGTTATGATACAAAGCCTAGAGCTTTGTCAATGTTTCGTCTGTATTTACAAATCTTGTCACCATCTAAACTAAATTAGTGACAAAAAAAAACATAAAACTTTGTGTTTTTGGCTTAAAGAAAACAAAAGTAAAAAATATATATATTTTCACTGACCCATGAGTAGACCCAATTCTCCACTTTATCGTTAGTTTAAGACATTGGAGCAAACTAATTTAGAATTTAGGGTTTATCTCAGTTCTCAAATGATGAAGCGGTGAGAGGAGAAGTTACATTTACACTGGTATGTCTCTGTTTCAACTTTTAAACTTTTACCTTCTCCGATTCTTTAGATTATCACTCTTCTTCTTCAGTTGCTACTTATTTTTTTCCTCAATCCCTGAAAGAATTGATTTTGCTTGAGAAACCGATACCCTTTTGAGATTTTACAATCCTTTCGTATTCATGTTGCTTCCAGGTTAAAATCAGGTGGTAAAGTCTTCATCTTTTCTTCTTTGAGTTCGAGATTACGGTATTGACAAGTGAAAGGTTGTAAAAAGAAACTTAAGCTTTGGGGGAGTTCTTTGTGCTTGTAATTACAACATATGGACAGGATAAGTCAATTGTCTGATGATTTGCTCATCAAGATACTGTCATTAGTCGAAACAAGAGATGCCGTGGCCATGAGCATTTGGTCTAAACGATGGAAGTCTCTTTGGACATTGGTGCCAAGACTTATCTTTGGTGATTACCCAGAGGAGAGGGAAGATGAGGATGAGACTCCAAAGACTAATGAGAATCATTGCATAAATTTGTCACAGTTTGTTTATGGGACTTTGTTATTGCATAAGGCGCCTGTTCTAGAATGTTTTCATCTCAACCGTGCTTCGGGATGTAGCGCTTCCGAGATTGATTTATGGGTTAGAATTGCAGTTGATCGTTTCGTGCGTGATCTGACGATAGGTTTTTGTTATGAATATGGGCTTATAAGGTTGCCGAGTAGGCTATTTAGATGTGAAACACTCGAGACTTTGGAACTCAAAAAGGTGATTTTTTTGGAAGTTCCTTCTCAGATTAGCTTTCAATCCCTCAAGACGTTGCGCCTTTTGTTTGTGAAGTATGCAGATGAAGAATCTTTCGTTAGGCTTGTATCAAATTCCCCTGTTCTTGAAGATTTGGTTGTAGAAACTTGTCACGATGACAATGTGGCGACTTTTACTATTAATGTGCCTTCCCTTGAGAGTTTTTCCATTAGGAATACATTGCAAGACTTGGAAACTGAGAATGATTTGTTTGTGGTACATTACCATTGTTTGAAGCAGTTCACCATTGTGGACTACTTTGGTCAACTTAACTTGATAGGTAATATGCCTAAACTTGTTGAGGCAAATCTCTTATCTGTGTCCTGCCAAGCCAAGGTTCTACAGTCTTTTACCCGTGTCAAACGTCTTTCTCTATGCTTACCTATAGAGGTAATTTTCTTGCTCTCTTTCGATCTTTCCTTGGTAACGAGAAATTCTGGAACTTTTGCATGCCTTCTTTTTTGCATGTGTTGTGTTACATGCAGTATCCTTATCCTACTGGCACCGTTTTATCTCAGCTTGTGAGTTTGGAGCTATGTTTATGTGAAAGTGACTGGACGAATATCCTTACGAGTGTGCTCCAACATTCCCCTAAACTACAAGTTCTCAAGCTTGCGATGGTACTTTCTTCTATAACCCAAATTTTATCAATCATGTTTGGTTTCCAGTTTAAAAGTCTAATGCACTTTTACCATTGATTGCAGAACCATTTGATGTGCGAGGATCATAAGGTTTGTTGGATTCAGCCGAATAGTGTTCCCGAATGTTTGTTGTACCATCTCAAAACCTTAGAGTGGAGGGACTATGCAGGAACAGAAGTAGAGAAAGAAGTGGCGGTTTATATTTTGAAGAACGCGAGGAGACTAGAGACTGCAACTATTTACCCTGACTCGGATAAGTTGGTGCAGAAACATCAGATGTTTGAAGAATTGGAAATTGCTTCAAGGAAATCAAGAGCATGTGAGCTTACAATGTGGTTATCTCTTTACCAAAGATTTAAAAGCTGTTAGACTTTGGATTTTTATCAGAAGCTTCTTATATAGTTGCTCTGTATCTTGGACACTTATTGGCTTTTGTCTGGATTATTGATCATGGTTCAAAAGTTCAAACAGAGCCTTTTATTGTTCTGCCAATATATTCAAATTTGTCATATCTTTGTTAAAAAATTATAAATTAGTATATTTTAAATTCCGGATACAAAAAGTAGAGAGTCCTTTAAATTAAACCCTAAGTCACGTTCATACAAAAATATCTGAGTCTTTTTAGTATGTTTTTCTCTCTATATCAATATCATCTCTTGGCCATGAGTTTAATGGAAACGAACAAGATCAGTTCGTTACCAGATGACTTGCTCTTGAAGATAATCGTTTTCAAACTGACAAGTTTCTCAGATTGCTTATCTCAGTAGAATTTCTTTCAATACATTTATATGCTTCAATGGTAAAAACTAAAAACCCTTCTCGTTCTTGTTTTATTTGGAAGTTGGCATTTATATGCTTTCGGTAACTATATGATTTATTGTGTCGTGCAGGTTCCGCTTCTTGCGGATAGAATTTCTCATCGACTTCTTCGTTTGAAACTACATATGTACAACAAAATTCCGTGTAATCTGCTTCTGCATTTTCTCAAACATTCCCCTAAACTACAAG